CCCCCACCGCCACCCCACCCCCTTTCCAACGAATACACACCCACAAACATACACAGCCCGACATAATATTATAGAGAGAAAATTAACATGAAACACGGAAGTAATCATGGGAACAAAAGAATCCACTCTCCATACTAAGTCTTGAGGCATGGGCATACACTGTATACATTTAAAGCTTTGCTGCGGCAAACTGCTTGATTTGAAGCCTGTTGAGGAAGTCACGCGACTCAACCCGCCATCCTATACTATTATACTAACAATCACAATACAAAGAACACAATTTACTCTTGTTCTTGATCAATTAATATCCACGTTGAAATATAACGGTGTCTAATCTACTAAACTACGGAATAATCTGACATTGTCAATATTGTTATCGTCACGAGCAGCTATAGAACTAAATAGAAACAGCTCTTCTAACGATTTCATAACTTCGAGGTAATGTCTGTTGGGGTTACACTTGCACATGAAATTTGACAATAAAGTTGAAAATTACCGAGGAAAAGATTATAATCAATGTGACCCACTGTGCCTTTACTTTGCACAAGGGCTGAGCATTCTTAATTTATGCGTATATGCAGTAAAATAAAAAAGGAAGCTCGTATCTGAAATTCATAAATACCAGTTTGTATTTGAAAAACTTATTAGAATGGGCCCTACGGAAAAAAATGATTTAAAAAAGCGTAAGTGTTTTCATGCCCCAATATATATGATCTAGAAGGAGCGGGCCTCCGACCCTGCCTGTCAAGGCTAACCTGGGCTGAGAGAGATACATCCCAGAAGAAAGACAGATACCCGATAAAAATATTCTCCCCACACGGGAATCGAACTCGGTTCTCATGCGTGCAACAGCGAAACGTATAACCGCTACACATCAGATGCCAATATTAAAAAAACCACAAACAATAACCAAAAACCAAAAACCCACAAAACCTTGAGAAATAAAGTGGAGCAGAAATAGTTAGTTCATGGAGACTACATGGATGGTCTCAGAGATGCGTGCATTGATATCATTTTGATCCGATGAAAAGTCATTGACTGATAGGGCAGTTTGCTTTATTCTTTGCTTGCATTGGTATTACTTTGTTATGTACAATGATAAGAGTGTAGTATGGGTTCCTAAAGACGGATGGTAAATATTCATGACTATTTATGAGTAAGCTAAAAGTAGAAATTATCAGCTGCTGACCGATGACGCTTATGATGTTCATGGATGTGCTGTTTGACTGAACAGAGAAAAGAGGATGTGTAAAGGCAACCAATGTGTAACTTGTAACCACTGCCAAGGCAAAATAAATTATGTAGACAAGGTGACAAACAATTTATGTCATGATGGATTTGTGCGATTGTGTTCACGGTTTCAAGCTGCGAAAGGATGAAACTTGACTACCGGAATTCATTCTTTTTTTTTTTTTTTTTTTTGCTCAGCTATCCTTAAGAAGTTGGGAGTTATTTCCTCCAAGTGAACAATAATTTACTTTGACCCACATTTTGTTTAATTTTCTGTGTCTCGGCTGTTTATGTTGCCACCTTGGGAAAGTTCAGTGTTCAAATTTCAGAGAGGGGTTCAATTTTTCCCGGCCGATCTAATCTTCCTCCCCTCCTCTTCTCCAAATCTCAGCTCTACCCCTTACCCCAGCCTCCTCAACATTGCGGCCACTGTTGGGACCCATCTTCAAAAAGGCATTAATTGTTTTGACCACACCTGAAAAAAAATGGTGGCTGAGGCTTTCTCAAGAAGCTGTTTACACCTTCTGCTGTTGAGAAAAAGGGTGTCTTCTTTTCGGCGGTAAAAGTCAAGTATACCTTCCCATGTCTCAACGCATCAATCGTGTGATAGGTCCTCCTTCTTTACTCTTCCTCTGTTATTTTTGTCGGTCTGTCTGTCTATCTTACCTTTTCCCTGCACGAAATAACCATTATTGTGTCGAGTGTCGATGTAGTTCTTATTACTCAAACAAACAATTAGCGCATCATGGCGATCACAGCACGCCTGTTTGCCATTCCCGCAACTTGTGAGACATATACATAACCCTATTCTGACCCCGATAGATGTAGAGCTCTAGGTCAAGCAGGTCAAAATGAAAAAAAAAAAGATGGGAGGTGGGGGGGATACTTTTATCCTTTTTTTCTTTGAACTCGTTCTGAATGTCCCCATTCTGTTTTAATGTCGCGAGTCTCCGCTGTGTACGCTCTCCGAGTCTCCGTCTCTCTCCCGCCCTCCTGGGAGATCTCTCGGCTGCACGAACACAGGCCCTTCGATTACTTCCCCTGGGTAGACTTCTCCAGCAGACATGCGCTCGGGAGGTCCCTGGTCACCATGGAAACTGGACAGCGAGTCGGTGTCGGGGAAAAATACCGTGGTGCCGCGTGGGCTCGCCTGCCGACTCTCCGTGGAAAGTCCTCTCGGGCTGAGCATGCTCGTGACGTCACGGGTCGGGATTTCCCGTCTGGCGGTCGGTGTGATCACCACGCCCATGAAGTCTTGGTCGCTGCTTCCCTGTAACGTTGATGGATGGGGGAGGTTGGGGTGGG